CATCCCTGATCCTACAGCTGTCAGCGACAGTGCAGAGTCTTCAAGAGCACTCTTGACGCGAATACGAACGACCTGACTTAAGGTAGATATGCCAGAGTCAAAACAGGTAAATAAGGAAGAGCAGGAACCTTCATGCCTTATTGACCAAGTGCTCCGACCATTCGAAGTACTTAGGAAAGGACAAATGGACGACTACGAAGTAGAACTTCGTCCTGAGCTAAACCCTATCACGCTAGGGCTTATCCTACTACCACGTGTCCATACCAACACTCTTAAGACAGAGGTCGAAAGTCTCTGCGAGCAGGAGAACTAAGAAGGTAAACCGTCCGTGGGCGGCACCACATTATCATTCCCAAAAAGAATGATCTAACGGTTCATCTTGACGTCCGGGAACTGAACAAAAAGTAAGCTACCTTTCCGATCCCAAGGATAACAAGACATGCTACTGAATCTAGACGGATTCAGGAAATACGAGTACCAGCGAGTACGATGGGCCTATGCAATAGTCCCGACATCTTCCAAAGGAGATGGAACACCATGCACGACTTGGAAAATGTCGTGATACATTGATGATAAACTCAACCTAACGGCGATCTAGGGATCGTTGAATATTAGATGAAGTTCTCCTAAGGCTTCGAGAAGCCGGACTTAAGATCAATGCTACCAGTCCTTCTCGAAAGAAGAGAATTGAGTATCTAGCTACTGATTACTTGAGAAGAACCAACCTTAACCAAGAAAATAGATGCGATCCAAAATCGCTCCTCCTACGAAAAGGAAAACTGTAGATTCATTGGACTAGTGAACTACTATCGAACATTGGATCAGACGATTACATGTACATACAACGTCGGGGATCCCAAGAAAAGGAATCCCTGTCCATTTCATTGCTTGACAATGATTGATCCCGTAACCGAATGGTTCGGATTGCTGAGATCTGCTCCAATGCAGCAGACGAAGTACCATCGTTCTAGAACAGACGTGGCTCACCCAGTATCATGGCCTGCTGAGGTTATCATGGTAGAGAACGTGAGTTCCGCTCAGAAGTCGAGAAGACTCTCCGGGATGAATATGGACTTCGTCGCAAGTTCATTACCACACGTGTTAAATCGTGACGCGATTCACAACGTCCGTTTCGAAGTAAACTGGAAACACATCAAAGAACGTCGCCAACGACTATCCAGAAAAACAATGATAAGGAAAACGCGACGCGTGCCTCATCAATACAATGTCAACGATACTGTGAGGTTTCAACAGTATCAGCACGCAAGTACGGTCAGCCAAAGTACAAAGGTCCTTACAATATAGACCGAGTCAATAACAATGGCACTGTACGGTCCGACATGCTACCGCAATGGCGGCACAGTCTACCAGACTTGGAACATAAGGTATTTACAACCATACAAGGCCTGATCCCCTTGTAGATTGCCATCGTGCGACGCCATGTCTACATCCAATCTCGGAGAGTGCCCCGCACTTTAATTCATATGTTCTCCTGTCGACTGATGTCGTGCCTTCTGTGACCTTTCAGGGGCGAATGCAATACACGGCTCTTAGCCTTATTCGCGACTCGATCCTAGATAGGGTTTGAGTTCGACTCATGACTGAGTCTCTCGTGAATAGTTATTGAGACAGGGTTCTCAATGACCGCTCTAGTCATACTAGGTTGATGATGAAAACTCGCTCTAGATATTTAGCCAGCGTGGAGTACTTCCACGCTACTAGATCCATGCTAGACGAATCTTCCACACGTTCCGTTTGAGGATCGTGGAGATACGTAGGATTACTATCGCAACCTACTCTATCACACTTTATAGTCTCCCGCGGGAGACCAGATCTACGATCCTTTGATGGTGATCTCTCTCGTTGATTAGTTTTCATAGCTTTCTAATCTCTCTCATAATTTTCATTCTCTCAAACACAAAACACTCGAAAGATCTTTACACTAGCTTTTAGCGTAGTGCACTAATTTAGCCTTAAGTAAAATGGTCAGGTTCTTGTTCATATTTGTGGTAAAAATGTTGTCTATTCGTCGTTTTGTTAAGGAAGGGTTAAGATGCCACTGAGTCTTGAATGACTGAGGCAACGACTTGATATAAACAATGTGTTAAGTAGGTGTTCTAATTATTGTCTAAATTGGGACGACATTATTGTTGTTAAGAATTGGTGGTTAAACTTTTGGTAACTTCTTGTTAATTGTGTGATACTCTAAGCTGGAATGCCCCACCCAAAGTCAATATTGGTGTTAGAATGTCTACTTTGGAGAGTGATAGTATAGATGATAACGAAAGGGAGATCTTGTTAAGGCTACGTTAAGAATGCCTTTACTAACCACCGATTAACAAATTTTCGCACCTTAGTGTAGTACTAATAGTAGTAGATCTTCTTTATACACCTCCTCTTTGCACAGCCAAGAGAAACCATGATCGAAGCATCAGCCCTCTTTGCTGCTCTTGATAACCCAGTGCCCACCAGCGACTGGAGTGTTTCCAAGTATCAGCCATTGGAAATGGTGTTGATGGCAAAGGCAGATTTGGAAATTGCCAAAACCTTCTTCGAGTTCTATCCTGAAGCATTGAGCAAACAACTCTCTCAAATGCGGTGCCAAACCAGGAGTGGTTGGTTTTCTTGCCACAAAGTGTCCTGAGTTGGTGGATGAAGGCTGGATCCAATTCTCATGTCGCTGCAGAGCAATCATACCCTCCAGCATTTCTTCTACTGTCAACGTAATGTGCAACCGGACTAGTTCAAGAGATACCATGAAATTTTAACAAGAATTCTTCAGAAGTCCAATACAACGCTCACTCATGCGGAATTTTCTGATGGCTGCACTGATGAAAATGAGAACGGCAACCTCTGCGGTGAACTGCATCCAAGCCAACACTTGCTGCCTTTCTACACAACCCTCAATTTTCTGGGTCGCAAAGAAGCGCGTGTACCAGACTCCAACACCACCAACGCTGGATTTGTGGATCTGCTGTTGGGGGTGCACGAGGCTATGTTTTATCTTGACAGCGAGGAAGAACAGCCCCCCACAGATGGCGATGTTTTCAATGTGCTTTATGGACTTCTGCATGAAAACCAGGCACATGGAGTCACCCAGGCAACATCTTACAAGACAGCACCACGAAGAGTGCTGCTTGTGGCATCAAGAAACGAAAGCACAGCGCCATTTCTTGATGACCGGCTGTATTGATTTATTTGGAATTGTCTTTCTGCTAGATATTCATACTATTTGCTTGAATTCAGCTTGCAAAGCATATACATGTAGTGCTGATTTCTAATTACTAGGCATGTAGTCGTTCAACTTGGCCAAGTGGAAACGAGAGGAATGGATTACACTTGGCCAAGAGGGATGGTGTAGAGGAATGTGTGCGGTTCATACAGTTGGAAGCCCCACCCATCAAAACTAGCTTTCCGAAGATGTCTCCGAGTACTCGTGGCGTGGGCAGACGAAAGACACTAGTTCGCGGGAATAGAGTCCCTGACTCTGTTGCGGACCACCTCTGCCTAGAACTCTAGAGATCGGTGGCAAGGGCAAGCTATTCATTCCTTGCGCTCCCGCCAGAAGACTTGAGCTGAATTGAGCCAGATAACAGTAAGTCCAACCGATATATGATTGCGGTTCGAGTGGCTTTCTGCAGAGCGGAAGGGCCGGTTGCATAGAAAAGTTGAGAGGTAACTGTTGCGAGTCGCGGGTACATTAGTGAGACAGATTTCGGGCCGAGGGATCCTCGTCCGCTCCCGCGGGTGCTCTTCCTTGTGCGGTAGAGGCCAATTGCGATGCCCGACGGCTCGATCTCGAATCATTTGAATTCTGTGTTGTGAGCAGCCTGGGCAGAGCAAAAGCGCAACAGCACACTGTAGTTCCCCAGCATATGCCGACGGCGTAGAGAACCCTCCTTCCACTGTCATCGTACTCAAGGAGAGACGAAAATATGAGAATGATGATACCCATGCCCAGAATTGAAGACATAGCGAAGATCAGCTGCTTGGCTTCACCAAATTTGGACTCGATGTGTCTCATGTGGTACGCAAGGACCGTCCCCGTCAGAGTCAAGCTCCCCTCAAACAAGATCTGAAAAATGAAAGAGCCCTGCGTATTGTGGCTGCATACCACATGCTGAGTGACATCCACTGTTCCAGGGTTTTTGAGCACCTCTGATGCTGTAGGAGGATCCACCAAAGTAACGACAAGGAGAATGGCTGCCTGCAGCACTATTGGAGGGAGCATGATCATGAACGTCTGGAAATGCGTGACTCTTCGACGCCTGGTCACAGTTCCTGGTTGGCTCACCAACATCCTCATTCTGAAACATTTGGCCAACAGGGGTGAAAGAGCTGCCACAAAAGCCATGTGAAAGCTCCACATTCGAAGGAGACACACAGCGTCCGTGTTTTTACCCAAGAAGGAGAACGACGCCAAGTTCAGGCAAGCGCAGCCAAGGAAGAACAGGCACGTAAATCGCCAATCTGCCATCATGATTGCCTTCTTGTGCCGATTGAAGAGAAACGTCACCAAGAAGAAGAGGCACACTCCTGCACCAAAAGTAGCAACGGCGCAGACGAGCATAAAGCCGGGTTCTCCGCGAGTCAGACTCTCTCCGCTTGATTGCCCCGGCATTACCACAATGAAGCTCCATGTAAGATTTGTGTCGGGTTTCTCGTAGACTGCAGTCGTTGCCACGTAGAAGGTCTGGCTAAGATCATTGTCCGAGTTCAAAGTCAAGAGCTCCCGTCTTGGAAAACCGGCAGCTTCCAACCTTTTAAATGCTTCGACCAGAACTTTGTCTGTAGGATGGCCGGTAAGCCTTGGAAGGGGGACCCTGAAGGGGTCACATAGACTAAGACCCTCTACACTGGTCTCTTCGTATGGACATTCACACAAGTGTTTGCCCTCCAAAGTTATTTCATCATGTGGACACGACCCTGGATCCTTGACAAGTGCTCCAAAAACAGGCGAGCTACCCGTGGAGGATGCAATCAAATAGTGTGGTTCCTCCTGCTCAAAGAGAGCCACGGCGATGTCCGTGCCCGCGTAGGCGTTGTGCAAATATTGTGTAATGTCACGAAGATCATAGTCCATGGCCATGACGCCATCAAACACTTTTCTTCCCAGTTCGTCCGTGGAGTAAATTGGTGTCGAATAAGAGACCTCGAAGGAATTGAAAGATACATCCGGTTTAGCCCAGAGAGGCTTTTGCCATTCCCGAATGATCGTATAGAAAGGTCTGTAACGAGCATCATAGTTTGAAACTCTGTAATTCCCTACGAAAGGGTTGCAGGGACCTCCCTTCCCCTGACAGTACGCATAGTCCCCAAGGATGTTTCTTTGTACGGGAGAGTCGTTTTCGTAGTAACAGGATCCTGGTTCCTGAGTAACACGCCCTTTGTCGTCGATGCAGTGATACATCCTCGGTATGTACCCAAAGGTCACATTTTGTTCTTTCCAATCGTTCCACTCTTCCTTGGATGCGCTAAAAATGCGGTATTGAGGACAGTAAGTGACGTTCTCCCTGCAAGCTTCAGCCTCTTGCAAGTCAGGGATACTAGAGCAGTCCCGCTGGGAATCTGGGTCAGGACATGGAGCCAACTTGCAATCATCGATGCATTCGACCCAATACTTTGGCTTTGTTGCTTTTAAATTGGCTGTGGTACAGTTCTCGGGTTCACCAGTTTTGCTGTTTACACAAGCAATCCAATACTTCCAATTGGGGTCATCTGGGGAAGCGGGGGGTTCATAGAGTGTGTCGCCATATTCTTTGTAGAAAGCATAGGCGCCACCAGCAGCAATCCCCATGAAGGTACCGTCCTCGAGGGCGTAGAAAGTATTGGGCTGCCCAGAGAGCGCGGAAACGACGGCAAAGTAGGTATCACGATCTGCTGGTCCCATGCCATGGTGAAATCCACCAACTCTGCGAAAGGCAAGCTTGAAGTCCAGAATCTCTCGAGGGCGTGACATGAAACGGTCAAGGTGTTCGTATATCCTTTCGACCACCTCTTCATTGAATCTGGCGCCACAGAACCGCAAGTTGGCAGCGGCCAACAACAGCGGGAATACGAAACGCATGATATATAATGGAACGGTGCGTTTCATGTTTATTAGAAGGGATTTTACAGACAGAGCAGTATCAGCCAAGCTCTGTTATACTCCAGAGTTCATACTTTAAGGACACTGGTACCTGGTACACTACGACCTGGAACGGTACCTGGTATAGTCCTGTGGTGGTTTCGAATACTAAGGCTCTGTCGAACAGTTTGCTTCTTATGCAAAAATTGGTGACTTCACGAGGGGTCTTCATCACAAGCTTCCGTATTCTTCGTCCTCGCGGTTGGCAAGCAGAGACCACACTGAACCGTAAACTCATACTACTGGTACTGTAGTACAAACATGACGTAATAGTGGGAATATACCGCTTAAATTTTATATTTTCCATAAAGTCAAGTAATTTTGTGTTTTTCTTTTCGAATCAATCCAAATGATCACCTCTCTGACCCCTCTAGCTAAATTTCAGAAAAATGTTTGTTTTGAAGTTTTACCAACCCATTTCAACCATATAAGCCAATTAAGTTACAAGGAGGTTCTCAGGCTTCAGGTTGGCACAACTAAATTCAACCGGACTGTTGGTTGGTTAACTTGCCACCGGTTTTGGTAAGGTTGGATAACATGGGAATGTCAACCGGACTGTCTGTCCCCTCCACTGGGCTGTCAAGGGCAGGTCAGAGCTGGCTCCCAATGCTACTCAGGCACTATCCTTGGAATGGTTGAGGAGCTGCTACTTACTTGCTTTTTTAGTCAATTAGAGCAGCCAAATCTAGTGCCAGTCACGACCTGCAGATACAGGTCAAGGCAGCTACCTAGCAGTCCTGGCTGCCAATTAACTACCATTGTGCTTCTCCCAAACTTTATAGGCATGTTCTTTGGCATGCTTCCACACAGCTTTCAGCTCCTCCTTGGATAGTCGCTTGGACCATAATTTCTTTTGTTCCTGGATCCATGCCTTGCCTTGCTCTTTCCGAATGTGGATAACTCTTGCCTCGAGATCCCTCTTGACACGTTCCAAAGCTGGCAACGAGGAATCATCCTCCCCCGTCTTGATCCGTTTCGTGGGAGACGACAAGGTCAATGCTCTACCATATTTTTGCGCCATGGCCAATTTCCGTTTGGCCTTGTGGGCTTGGAGTTGATCATCTTGTTGTTGCAGCCGTCTTCCATGTTCCTTCTTGTTGATATCTTTGGCATGGACCGGGCAGTAGATGCATCGCACCGGTTTGGCCGTACTGTCGTCTGGCAGACCAGGAAAGTATAATACTCGTTTGTGCTCCTGCGGCATGGTAAATCGGGCACATCCCACGTGAAAGGCATGGGTACAACTTTCATTCTTGTCCAATTGTAGATCGGAGTGTTTGACACGATGCTCTCGTGGTTCGGTCCGTTCCCCCGCCGAGCATTGGACGGGAATGCGATATACATGGTCGGCTGTATCGTCCTGGTTGCATATTTCGCATTTCAATTGTTGTCGTCTGTTAATTTCTCGGCTCCGCGATGTGTGTTGAACGACACCATTTGCGTCCTTTGGGACGTAGTAGACAAAATGATGGGACGGAGCAAAACCATCGTAGAGGTCGTTTTCTTCATCTTCGTCGTCATCATCATCCTCCAACTGTAGTTCTGGGTTAATGGACCGATCGTCTTTGGGATTATCTTCTAATCCTTCATGGGTGGTTCCTTCTTGTGAGACGGCATACATGCAGTTTTGGGTGCAGAGGAAAAAGCCACAAATGGTGTGTGCCCAAACCAATCGTCTCTTTGTCGTGTCATCATTGTTGTCGTTTGTTATTGGCACATGCAACTGTCGCGCCCGAGGTCCATAGGTGTCGTAGACCGGATGCATGGCGTGCATGTCGTCGTCTTGATGCCCGCACAAGTCACAAATTTGGGGTCGTTCCGTCTGTGTGACTTGTAATTTGACGCGTTGATGGGTGTTGTTGTCTCTGTGATGGACATAAAAGGACTTGCCCACGGCTTGACACGCCCAGCAAACAAATTCGTCCTTGATATACGTTGGCATCCCATAACAATCACGGTGGACATGTACCTTGCATTCCGTGCACGAGACCATTTTCATTCCATGGCGACCATCTCGGAATCCACACACATCGCACTTGGGACCTCGTCCTCCTCCTGGACTCTTGAGGGTGGATGATGATGGACAGGGTGAAGAAATGCTGGTGGTTGTATCCTTGGCAGGAGTTTCTTCTTGTTTGACAGCGGCAGGTGTTTCTTCTTGCTTGACTCTCGTGGGGGTGGACATGGTGCTTTTTAAAAAATCGAGGATCTCAACAAAAACTGGCAAAACCACCACTGGAGAGAAACCTTTTCCCCATTCCCACGCTAGCTATTGTGCTCTGGTACTGCAGCTCCTTCGACGGTCTAACTGTATACTGTGACACTGGTTGGAGTGGTTGGAGTGGTTGTTGTTTTGAAAGTGCGAGGAAAAGGTGTGGTCGTCCAAGCTGTCGTCGGAGGGGGGTCTTGCCACTAGTTGGTCCCGCGCAGGAGGAAAAAAGAAAGGGGGGGGAGAGGGTGAGCGTCCTAGTGAACATCCTTTTCTTCCTTCCTATTCCCATTGGCTTCCACGTGTAATATCCAATGCCATATCTATATATCCAGCACGTTCTTTTCATGTCTCTTTCCGTAGTTAAACTCTACTGCTTATCTCTATACGTTTCTCCCTTTCCCGAAATTTTGACACTTAAGTACCGAAATATTCCCCCCTGTTCGCCTTAACCCTACCCGCCATCTGAAACTTTTCTTCAGCCAATGCGTTTCGGATTGACACCATTCCATCGAAATGGTGGACAACTATTACAACATCAACACTGACCATGGCAAGCCGCCGCTTGAAACCAAAGCAACTCTCTGAGCCTCAATGGCAGTTTGTGCTCAAGACTAGAGATGCCATCAACAATGATCCTAGTGGCTACTTTAAACCACCGCGATTCTGGAAGCGAATTGAACCAACAAGAGGTGGTCGATTCGATAGCATGCTTTTGAATCAGCGTGGAAAGAAAACGACTGTCCAGCATTTCTACGTGAAGCCTATCGCTGCTTGGGTTCCCCACATTCTGGTTCCAAACCATGTTCCTTGTTGCCCCCACTGCAAGAAGAGGAATGCAGTCGATCTACAGAAATCACGATGGGTGAACTGTCCAAAGGTGTTGTATGGGGTATCAAGAATCAGCTACCTCGACACAGTCCTATACCTGTGCACTAGGTGTGGTAGACGTTTTGCTGGGTACAACAAGGAATCAATGCAGCTGGACTCCTCCCTCTATTATGGGTTCTTTACTTTCTACCTTGGCCACGGATTCGCTGTGGATGATGAGCTGCATGCATTGATAATTGAAAGCTCGCACAAAGAAGCAACAGCTACTATTGCCCGTAAACTCGAGCGAATGGCTCACACAGCCTACTATGAAGACCACCAGCTTTATCTTACTGCCATTGGATTGGACAAAATCCGTCCAAAGAAGAAGAAGCGCACTATCTAAGAATTGCTCCCAGCACCGGAAAGTAACAACCCACACCACCAATCACTCATAAACCGGAAGAACACAGCTGTTGCAGAAATCCGGGCAGCTCGATCACGGGAGGAATCTGCGAGAAATCGTTTAGCCAGCGACTGGACCTTCCAATCAATGCTAGCATCAAAAGACAACCACAACCATCATGGTGAAAAGAACTTCTTGAGGTCACTCGGTTCCACCAAAATTCGCAAATTGTTGGATCATGGAATTAACACATGCTTTGAGCTCCTCGCAGCCAACCCAAAAGATTACAAGGCCACCATCCGTCCCATGCGCAAGTGGCAGGGCATTGTGCGGTCTCACTATAACAATCTGAGGGATGCTGTCAATCTTCGAAAAGCTGAGGTTCAGGCTGCCCTCACCAAATACAACACGGAACTTGAAACTTTGCGGCAGTGGAGAAGAGACAATCCTGATAATCTTGGAGATCAATCGGGAGATCCTGAAGATAATGGAACGACTGAGGAGGAATCCAACCTTGTTCCCTTTTCAGAGTTTGGGGACAAAATGGGATATAATGGGAGAGTCCTGTCGAAGTATCGAATTGACAGTCTGGTCATGAAGTACTTCAACCATCGCAAAGCTTATCAAGAGCTCAAAATGCTTGGACTGACGGCAACTCTCCTGAAGATCGACTTCAATTACAAGCTTGCCCAGAAGATAAGAGTTTGGACAAGGCAAGGATGCAGCTTCCAGCCATACAAGTGCATCATTACAATCCAGAATGAGGATGGTCTGACTGTGTTTTGGAAGGCTTTGAAGCACTCCGAATCCTTCAGTGAAATAGAAGAAGACTTGATCCGACTACGAAATAGGTTGAATCGCAACTGGCATGCACACGTACAACGCCCAGCAATGTGCCCACTGCAAAATGCGGTGAAAGTCATCTATGTGGACAACTGCTGTAATGTGCGACGGACCCTTCAGAAGATCTTTGGTGCAGGTGTTTTGTGTTTGCTAGATCCTTTTCACTGGTTGAAGCGATGGAATGAGCTTCTTGTTGACTCATCTTCCCTCCAAGCCGGCATTTTCAGAGGTCTCATGTCCAGAGCCTTATTTGTCATTACACCAGACGAATTCCAAAGAGCTAAAGACAAACTCGAAGACAGGCTCAAGAGAGAACCAACCATCAAGGAGATCAAGAAGGAAGCGAACTCAATAATTCCTCCACCAGCAATACTAAGAAGCAATGTTGAGGCAGTGCTGAATTATGTGCAGAACAAGGACACCGAAACTTATAGGTTGCTTTCCCAGAGACGCGACGATGACAACTCTCCAAGGCCACGATTGTTCTTCAAACAGTGGAAATTTACTGACATTGTGAGGAAACAGATGGTCCATGTCGATACCGGTTGTTTGAGTGATCCACCGAATGATTTAGTGAATATCTTTCGCCGAAACCCAGCCACCGACACTACGTATGTAGCCAGAGGAACCAACACAAATGAACGAGACAATCTGGATTTGGCGCTGCTACTGCTAGCCATGTACATTGGTAAGTATTAAAAATGATCCAGTGGCCAACATCGCCTTTTACTTCAACTCGTCTCACCACCATCTGTTTTTCAGGAGTACACAGGGGCGAAAGAATAATGTGCAGTTTCTTTGAAGAGCGGAATGATCGAAAGGCTGTCATTCGACTTGGTGGAAAAGATTACAAGATCCAAAACACTGAAAAGTTGCTCCTGCTGAATGCTTATGCCCAGAAGGTAGGATTCGCTACTGCTCCTTATGCACTTGGGGCTCCAAAGAAACCTACAGACTTCAAGACAGAATACATGGGATTTACTTATGCAGCGATGCCAGACATTGTGGATGTGTCCAATCCTACGGATGGTGCCACAGATGGCTACCAATCTGGCGATGACACAAATGAGCAAGTCGATGCTGGTGAAGATGACGAACAGATCCCACAACAACAAGAAGAGATCCAGCGCGTTCTTGGTGGTCAATTGGGCGATGACATGGATATAGAGGTATTCGCCACCGAGGAAGAATACTTACAAGCAACAACTGCCAATACTTCCCAGGCTCGCCGACAGGTTGAATTGAGCGATGCTGATGAGCGAGCAAGAGCCAATGACAGAGCCAATCGCGAGCTCATTCAAAATGAGCTCAATCGATTGTTGCCAGCAGATAATGATGGTGAATCCACACTTGAAGCCTTTCGGCGGCTCAGTAACAAATGCGAGTGGTTACCCTTCAGATCTCCAGACAGCAATACAGAAGCTAATGATGTTGATAAAGCTGAAGCCGATCTTTTCAGTGAGTGGGTGTCACGGTATGATCGGTCGGCTCAGTCAGGCCCAAGGAGTTTCAAAGCATTTGAACGCGACTGGAACCATGAAGTGGCTCGCCGGTTTAGACTGTGGACAACTGATGGGGAAGAATCTGGTGTCATCCAGACTCGATACAAGAGCCGCTTTTTACTTCAACAGCATTATGACAAGTTAGAGGCCCTTAAGAGTCTTGCGGCAGTGCCTGTCAATGAAGGTGATCGCGAGGAACTCGACAGTTGTCTACGTACCAACCGACAGGGAATTCCAGAGGCTTCAGAACCCATCGCGAGAGATGCACAAGTCCCACAATACAACAACACTGGACACACTCCTTTTGGCAATCCCACGACCTTGAATGCTGAGGTGGCTGTTGGAGCTTTGGCGCTGGCTGCTGCTACTGGAAATCTAACACCCACTGTTGCCACTGCTGCTTATCGAGTTGCACTTACAGCGGTACCCACAACTGCACCAGCAAGACCAAGGCGCTTGATCTTCAGGAGCAGAAAATATTGCAACAAGTGTGGCCACAAAAAGAGTGACCATGTCACTGCTGTGGAGGGAGTTGCACAGTCCTGCAAGAGAGACTACTGTGGGAGATGTATGGAGAGGAAGCAGTTTCATGGCCCCAATGATGGCTTTGGTCCAACTTGCAGCAAAGACATACACACTAGACAAGTCTCTACTGTGGCAGATTGGTACCAAGCTACTGTAAGTTTGACTATTGTTACTGGTGCCACTATTTGGATAACAAACAACAACAATGTTTACAGTTGCTGCTTCCTTTTCTTTTCTTTTCAGACATGAGACATATTCAAGGCATTGAGTAAGCATACACTCCATTGTGAGCAGTGAGAGAAGCCCTGTGCATTATGTACTGCTGGCTACTGATCACCATTCCACTCAAGTTGTGCTTGTGCTTGCTCCAGCACACAATGTCAAACCAATGACTCCATTCTGTAAGTAAGAACTCTTTGGCTTCCCACTCCCACGCACCAAACTGATTATAGAGTGCATCTCTCATAAGTGGCCTAACTATGATTGCACACAACTCTTTCTTTGTCATAGGATCTCCTTCCTCCACTACCAAAGCAAGCAGAGCAAGCACATCACTGTACCACTCAGCACTCTGCCTCACTCCCCATCCAGTCATGGTCTCCAGAATCCAGGTCATATCAGGTGTCATGGGCACAGCCTTTTCTTCCATTATGAGTTTCTCAACCATGACACTGGGAAGGTACTTTACCTTTAGAACAAAGTACTGGCTGTACCTGTTTGCCCTGTAAGTTTCATCCATCAACAAAACATACTTGAGTTCATAGCTCTGCCTGGTCTTCCGAATCTCATTGAATGGGTAGCGATTGTTAACATCTAGCCATTCTTTAAAAGCAACACTAGCTGTATGCAACATGGTGATGTACTGGCTTAGCTGTAGTTGGCTGTGTAGGCGAATCCAATCCAATGACTCCACGACGACCGTAGAGGTACGAAATTGTGAGGACGAAATAATGAGGGCTTCAACGTACTATCCCACCTCCTGGAATAAGTCTTTCTATGTTCCGCAAGACTCCAACCGTCACATTAAGACTCACGAGAGTTAGGCGCAATATTTGAATTTGTCTAAGTAACTGACCTTCAGTACAATTCGGCACAGTAAACTAGTCTTGTATCTTATTTCAGTACCCCTTCTCTGTAACCTCCACTCGCCAACACCCGGAGGGGACGAAAGCTGTAGAGACACAATCATTAGAGTTAAAGCTTGGGTAAGGTTAGAGATACTATACGTCCAAGAAGAAGACATCGAATTTCCACCAAAATTTGCGGGGTGCGCATTCGAAGAGGGCAATGCCATGGCAAACAGAACCAAGCCCAAAGAGAGATCACTTACTTGCAAAACCACGAGCAATAGAAGTTTGTAGGGACGAGTAGAATCAGAAACTTCCAAGGCGCTTGTTGTCATAAAAACGATTGAGCCTCTTTTTCCCGCTGCCAAAAAGTTCCCCATTCAACAATTGCTACTTTCTTCCCAAGCAAATTGCACGCAACTAATAAAAGACCATGGGCATCAAGTTGTTCAAGCATAATGCGCCTTCGAAAGAAGGCAGCACTCTTGTCGTCAAGGTGGTTGTAATGGGCGTGCTTCTCGTGATATCAGCCTGTTCGGTCTACACGGTCGGAGTCCAAGTTGGAATGGAAACCAAGGCGGCGGTCAAAACTGTGGAAAAGACGCAGCAAGCACAAGGGACACAAGCTATAGCTCAGACGACAGATAATCTCATACAGCCATCCACCAACAGCTATCCACTCGCCATTCCAGAAGGACAAGCACAAGCCTTGCCATCCATTCGTCTTTCCAAGGAAGAGGATGCCACCATCAACCGAAAAAAGATTTATGGAGGACAAGGAGACAAGGTCAGTTGAGTGCATGAGTTTGATTCGATTCGATTCGATTCATTCAGTTGCATGCGAAAATAAGATAGATTGTGTGAATCATGATGTATGCATAATGGACCAACCGTCTCAACTGCGACTCTACTTTATCTTTTCTGCCTATCTATCTAATGGTACACTAAACCCAACCAACCCAATCTACACAACATTGAAACAGGAGCACCTTGGAGGTTTCACGGCATATGACGGCCAAGGGGTCAGCCCTGCCGTGTGGAAACACATGATCAACTCGATCGGGGTGAAATCACTCATTGACGTTGGCTGTGGCAAGGGAGTCTCCACTTTGTACTTTGAAAGCAATGGTGTGGATGTCCTCTGCCTGGAGGGGAGTCATGACGCCGTGGAGCATAGCTTGTTGCCAGATCCCGCCAACCAGGTTGTGGAACACGATTTTAGTAGAGGTCCTTACTGGCCCGGCAAAACCTACGAGTACGTGTCCATTCATCAGTTAGTTTGGGAGTCAAATATTTTGTGACGAGAATTGATTGCGTTGTTGTATACTTACTTGATCTTCTTCTGACACACACTGCATGTTATGATGTCGATGGTCTTTTGATGTCAACGTCCACGTTCTACCCTGTGCTACAGTGCCGTGTGGTCTGTCGAGTTTCTCGAGCATGTTGGTGAGTATCTCTCTCCTGTGGTTGCTGTCGTCTTAGCTACCACTCGCTTCCAACTTCCAACTCACCTCGATTTTTTTGTCTGGGAACAAACACAGGGCGCAATTATCAGCACAACTACATTCAGGCAATGCGCAAGGCAGCCTATCTGTTTGTGTCTCACAGTCGCTGGGGCGGTTGGTGAGTTTATCAAAGGTCGGTCACATCATGGGTGTTGCCCGTTTACAGTATCCATCTCAACTGCACGAATTGGCTTGCTGTTGTTATTCATGACAGGCATCACGTGGAAGTTCACAGCCCAGAATGGTGGATTACACGGATGACCTCTTTTGGATTTGTCTACAGCAAGGAGCTCACAGAAGAGATTCGCCACGTTGCATCCATAGAGAACAGGGAGGGGGCAGCCAACAAAAACAACCCCGATAAGGCGCTAGAAGCACTTGGACCAGATGGTGAGCATTACAATGCTCAGGTATGTTGCTTTGCGCGCAAGGACCGTTTTGGGCCAGCTATATATTTGAGTCTCGACCTATCGCTCTCACATCTTCCATTGCGTTTTCTCTCAGCATGTATGGCTCAACATGTTAGTCTTCATCAATCCTGCCGTAGCCGCTCTACCTGAGCACGCCCACTTGCTGGCAGAGCAGGGCTGCTACAAAGGAAGAGAAGGTGGGGTACACATACACAGAGAATGTGATCCATCAAAGGGTGAGAGTGTCTTGCCAGAATCATTCCGTCCTCTTCAATGGTCAGTTGAAGCGCACAAAGCTTGGCTCGAAAAAGTCAAATCTTCCATCAAGGCATAGACAACAAATGACGAAAGGATTTCCTTCCAGGCAGCCACTACTGGTAGCTGTTCGCCGATAGTTTGGGGCAGCCTCGACTTCGCTGCCGTATTAGCTTTACCGCTCCGAGATGACAGGGGCATTGCACAGTCTCTGGACTAGTTCAAACGTGTGCATAACCCGCACCTACGTACCGGTAGAAGACGGTATTTTGTCTGCATGATATTCTTAAATAGTTTCCCTCTAGTTGCCAACGCATTATTCATTTCAACCCCCGCTTCACACTTTCAGTTTTCGCTCGTTCGAGCACTGGCTGAATGGAAGAACGCGATGCCGATTGGACCTTAGTTCAACCGGAGACGCTTTTCCGCTGCCTCCGCGGCACGTCTTCGCCTCTCGGCAAGCTCCGTGCTTCTATCACCAGCGCCTTTCCCCTCCTTGTCGTCGTCGTCAGCTTCGATACCGGTACATGTAGGGGTAGCTGAATCTTCTCCCTTCTTGTTGTCGTCTTCGCGAGCCTGTTCCTCATCGGCATCGCTGTCGTCGTCGATTTCGATGACTTCGTCGCTTGCGGTCCTTTGCTTTTTGGACGGCGGAGGAATGTGGTCAGCGGCTCCATCTGCAACATCATCAAGGACAACAACCTCTCCGTTTGATGTCGACTTTTCAGCTTGCAAAGAACGCTTTATGGCTTCTTGAAGGGCCTGGTCCTCTGCCGTTTGATAATCTTTGTAAAAGTTTCTGGCTGCGGGTTCTAAAAAATTGTCGCCTTTGCTGAGTTGTAGCGCCACCCGAATGGCCTCGTCTTCACTCATTGCCGCCACACCTGAATTGCTGCGTGTGGTTGTGTCGGCCTTGCTCATCTCAAGAGCGGCTTGCAACTCCAAGTCGCCTCGTGGCAGAGCCAGTGCTTGCTCCAACTCAGGGTCAAATCCATCGAGCCCAAACCCACCGACAAACCCAGCACCCGAAGCAGCCAAGGCGTCGATTGAACCAAACATTGCATTATGCAAGGAATCATCCTCAGACTCAACGTCGCATTCGTTGTTGAAAATGCCAAAGCTCTCGTACGAGATCGTGCAGGCAGTATCTTTGGTTGCCAATCCCCCACTTGTAGTTATGACAGCCTGTTTCAACGCCTTTTGCCTGACCACTGAAGAAGCTTCATTGATTTGGCATTTCCCTGTCACAGAGCCCATTTCTGTATCTTGGCCAGATTGAACCAAAACAAATAGAACGCGAGTCTTAACTTCGAAGGGAAACTGACAAGTGAACCTACGCCACGCAGCTTGGAACTTCTTGCCCTTGGCGATGGTCTCGTGGTCGAGAAAGCCCGTTTCAGTGCGACACATCATTCCACGACAGGTTGCTTCCAACTGCAGATTTAGGCTGAAGTCTTTCCTGTCGTTTGTGACATCCTTTCGCTTCAGTAGACGTCGATTGATACAGCCATAAACAAATACAACCCCACCTCCGTCGGCCAAACAGTCAACTTGGATGACCCGATAGCGAGGCTCACCGTACAACTGAACACCCTCTTTATCATCCAGCACAACCTTGCATTTCCGCTGGCCCATGTTTCGAATGGGTTGAAAGCAAAACTTGTGCAAAACAAGATCCATCCGAGGGACTTCTGGAAGTTCACGAATCATTAGAGGAGCGTCCGCCACGAACCTGACGGAGAAGCTTTTCTCCGGGTCTGTAGCCGCCGGATGGCCGAACGACACTGGCATGACTACGCATTGGTTGTTCTTTTTTCGATTCAGAATGATTCGGTGGTGTCCAGCCTTCTTGAAGCCCAACATGGACCCGTCAACAGTGTTGTAGCCCTCGTTGGCAATCAGTAGACCGAGATCCGAGATCTTATAGGAAACTTTCCTGTCGGTTCGACCTAGTGATGCACCTCGTCGAGTCTTTTGGATGCCCATGACGTACAATTCGACCGTATCTCGTGCGGGCCCTCCTGCTTCTTGCGAAATGAGGGCAACTTCAAAAGCACGCGTGCATCTGTGGGTCGATAATTTCTCGGGAAAGTTCGACGCGAACGACCGAGCGTGGTTTCCTTCGAATGCAAGTACAACGGTGACAGTACTAAATGCCATCAGGAACTCGTCATAGGCAATGTAGAAGGTACCATCATCCACCAGGGAAGGAGGTGGTAGCGTTGAGCCCTCGCGATGGAGATGGAGGAGCAACTTTCTCCATTGACTGTCATTGTCCGACCATTCGCCTTTCCATTCCCCACGCCCATGAGGATTTCTAATTCGAACGAGTCGGAGTGTTTGATCAAAGGAGGTAAATCCACTGACATTGCCCAGGCTTCGATCGGCCAATTTGTTGTGAAAAAATTCAGCCGGCACATTCTTCAATTCATGGACGTCCAATATCGAGTAAGCGTGTCTCCCAATGATCCCTCCAGCAGATGAGTCCGTGGCACAGCCAATGGGTAGTCGCTGATGGTGAAAAGAGAGCAGCTTGTACCAGAAATGTCGCGCGTCAAAGCCTGAGCTCATTAGGGAAAATGACAGCGTTGGACTCCCAGTGAGATCCAGGAATGCCTCGTCAAGCCATCCCCCGGAAACAGCATTGAAGGATGCATGACATTTTGCATATGCTTTCTCCAGCAGCGATGGCCAAAGCTGCATCTCCTTTCCCTTGGAGTACGCCAGGTCTTGGATTGTGACCTTTCTGTTCAAATCCAGTGGGACATTGGAGCGAATTGTCGACTCTGCTGAATCCTTGAGATAGCTGCGCCATGCCTCTCCCGTAACTGGCTCCTTTTTAGCGTATGGGTTGGTTGATGGTTGCTGCTGTTCCTGCAAGAACGCTTGGACAGCAGATAGAATGCGGCGATTGTCGTGTGTCAAAGCAGTAGGATCATGTTTCGAATTGCCCGACTTGCCCACCGACCTGGCATCGTTTGCGACGACACCCAAGCTGGCATTGATTGCTTGTTGCACCTCCGATTCGCCATCCAGGATGCATGGAAGAAAGTTGTCCACAAGGACAGGCGTCCAAAATCCATCCTGAAACATGTTGACTTTTAATATTCCAAACGGGAGACCAGGCTGGGGCCCTCCGATAATTCTAGAGATCAAATCAGGGCGTTCAGCCACAACAGCAAGCGTGGATAGGAACCAACAAGTACCCAATTTGCCCTGGACCAAATGCGCCGCCTGGAAGCCTCCCGGTCCAACAATGGTTTGCCCCAAATGCTCTCCAAAGCGGTACCTGCAAAACGGGAGAAAGAATTGTACATGTATTAGAGATGCATACAAAATGCATGGTCATTGGCACATTATTACCAATTGCCATGCAAAACATACCAATGCATCGTTTCCGCTCGAAATGCCCACGAAAAATAATCGCATCGCTTGGGTCCTCCCTTTTGGTGGTGTTTGGGCTTTCCACAGGTCCAATAGGGACGCCCGCTATTCGGCCCTTTGACGGAAAAGGCAAGCTGAACTTCCACTCCACACTTGCATTTCACAGCCTTTCCCTCCTTGCGACTTCCTTGAATGGACGAAGGGGCACATTGAAAATCTGGGTCATGATATAACTCGGTCTGTTTGCCTTGTTTCCGGCGCTGCAACTGCTCATGGACAAACGTGTTCAATCGGTCCACGGCGTCGGATTGTTGTTGGACAATGGCCTCCACATCCTCTTCCAACACAATCCCTGCTTGCAGAGGACGCGCCTGTTTTCCACGCTTTGGAGCAGCCTTCATTTTGCCACGGTTCGCTCCAACGCTTGCCTTCTTGATGGTGGCGGCTGGTTGCGCCGACACTGCCGGTGGCTTTGTGTTCTCAATCTCATCGTCGGATAACAACTCAATTGCCTCGTCCTTTCCAGACATGATGAAGTGATAACTAACTGTACGGTACTTCGAGGGCCCAAGGATAACACAATACTGGTACCTGCAGCTGTCCTTCTCCTTTTGGAGGTTCCTTTGTGGACGCTTCCAGCAGGGACAAGACACGCGACTTGGCCGTTTTTTTCATTCCGAACACTTTTTAAGACTCACACTTACTCTTTGTCGAAAGCAGCGTGAGCTGATTGTTGCTCCCCATCAACACTTCCTGGTTGGTAGCTACTGTAGCCCAACCTTGCGGTCAAGTTGATTTTGTACCGTAAGCGCTCGTTTGCCCCGTGTTGATTGCCCCTTGTCTCTGCTGGAGGGGCGAATCAGGATTATCTGTGCTGGGCAAGTGGTGCCATGAAGACGGTCAACTCTACATCTGCTTGGCAGCCTTTCCAGTTCCTCAGTTAGTTGCATGCATATAAGTCCCTCTACTAGCAAGCTACGGTAGTTCCGGTCGACACCAGCTAGCTAGAGAGTTTAGAGAATTGTGGGAAACGAAACTACTAAAACCAGGGCAATGACGGAAAACCAAACCAATGAAAACTGCTGCTTCAAAATGCTTACAAGTTGGTTTGGTAGGTAGGTAGCTCAAATCAAAATATTTCTGGAGGTAGTACTACAATTCTTCTTTTTGTGATGCTTCCTTGGACGACGACGATGCTGTTGCTGCTGAAGCGGGTACTCTCAGTGTCGATACGGCAATGGCAATGTCATCCCGATACCTCCCCTGTCTGTAGGTATCCCATCCCTGTGCGGCCGTGGTGACGAGCAGTTCACAAGCCGTGGCGGGATGCAACCCCTGTTCTTCAAACAAGGACTGTGCTACAACTTGTGCAATGCCCTCCTTGTTCACATAATCGAGCATTCCATCCGTGGCCGACACGGCAAAAATGTGCACATCATCGTCGTCATCACCGGATGCCGGTGGTTCCGACTGCGATTGACATTCTTTGTCGTTCTTATTTTTGCTGCGTTGAATAACACCATCGTCATCAATTTCCCAACAATCCGATACATCGGCCCGTGATTTGGCCAATTCCTGTTGTACAACGTCGGGAATGTTCAACACATCGACAATGGGATCGGGAATGACCCCCAATTTTCCAAAGGCCCAGTCACCAAGACTCCGACTCATGGCCAATCCAGTTTGTGCTCCCGTGCGGGGATTGACATAAACGACCCTCGAAGTCCCTCGCACGGGTATGTAGACGTATCCTCCCATATCTTCGACTCGTTGACGTTCGTCTGGCAAACTGGGTTTGTCTTCTCGACTAATGTAGACAATGGATGTTTGTTGTGTCTTTTTGCGATAAATGCCAATGATGGATTGGGAATCTCCCGCATTGGCAATATAGACGTGTTGCCCTTGCAACAATACAACCGATGCGGTACATCCTCCCGTAGGATCGGCGGGTGCCGTTTGATCCAATTCGACAAAGGTTTCGTGCAAGACGCGTTTGGTGGTGGAGATCTCATCGTCCTGGACATTGTTGGGAGCAGCCGTGTCCAATGCGGCCTGTAATTTTTGTGCCAGCAAGGGACCAATTTGTTGCACGGCATATTCCGACACAATTTCACCACGCGCCGCGTGTCCATCGAACACTCCCAATAATCGCCGTTCGGTACTATTATTTGTATTTTCATTTTCATCAGTAGTAATATAATAGGGTCCCACCACAAAGGCTCTGTCTTGATTGATTTGTGTGGCTACGGATCCTCCCTTGTACCCCGTCATGGTAATGGTGGCCATATCGTGCGTGGCAGCCGTGGATAACGTTCGTTCCACGGGTGGTTGGATTTCTTGTCGTGTCTTGTTGCGAATTTCCGAGAGACTTTCCAGAGCTTCGGGAGCATGAAGTCGCTGATGATGTTGATGATTGGCTGGAGTTTTCACAACATCAATGGGAAACAAGGGACAACCGTAGTAAGGACACGATTTTCCATTGGGATATTTCCAAATTTTGCTTTGTGGAGGTTCTTCTTCCCGCGCCGTTCTTCCTTCGGCCATGGTCATAATGGGTCGTAGCGATACCACGGCTGCGACGGCAATCAAGACATTGGCCCTCATGGTAGTTTTTCGTTGATGGCTGCTGCTGAACGTAGAAGACAGCCTTGCTTGGTTTGATTGTTGTTGTTGTTGTCGTGGTGGGAGTGGTAGCGCCGACATGAGATACTGGCCACTGCCACCAGACGAAGACAGGCCAATGGCCATTGTGCGGGAATTGCCGACGGATCGAACAAACGAGGGACCTCTCGCAGCAACCCTCATCATTATTCTGAATGTATACGGTAGGTAGTAAAGTAAGCTTCGACAAGGAGATCACAACGCAGCAAATAAGATAGCAAATACAAAACGATAGAAAGGATGCTGCCGGCAAAATAAGATTGTATGCCGTTGGTTTCCAAGTTGTGTTGTGTGTTGGAATGTTGGAAGTTGGAATGCTTTCCAAACGGAGGCGGGTGGTTCCGTGCAAGTGCGTTGGTGGTCAGACGGAATTGCAGCCAAAGCTGTCAAAAGTTTATCAGCACCGTGGTACTAGCTAGTATCCATGTCTGAAAGTCGTCTTATGGTACCGGTACCGCGGAACCACGAGAAACAATGATCAACCAAATCTACAGAGCCTGTTGACACAATCCAAACTTTCACAAGTACTGTACATGCAATTTAGCCCAGCACTGATGAGTCTCAAAGAGGACATGAAAGAGTCATGCCAAAACCAAAAGTCACCACAGAGCTTGGAGAGAGGATGCGCCATTGGTGATCTGTTTCAGTAAAATTTTGCTGAAATCATACTAGCTAGCTAGTGTGGCAATAAGCAACCTCTACCCCCGCAGATGCTTTGTCACATTTCTTACCACTATCTTAATGTGGGGTGGCATTGGTAGGCTAAGCTTAGCCTACCAATGCCACCCCACAAACTACCGGTAATCATGGGCTTTATGCTGATCTCACGAGAAGATCAAAAAATAAGGGCAAAAGCGACCAAGCCGACGAAATGCTGCTGTCAATCCGAAAAAGACAAACGTTCACCTTTTGGGAAAGGCAAATCATACCAGTTCATTGAGAGAAACACCTGTGCCTTGGGGCTCTTTTTATTCATGTCATTACTATTCCTTGCCGTTCTCGCGAATCAAGTTGTCCTTTTTGCTCATTGGAACCTTTGTCGTTGAACCCATCGTGTTGTGCTTCGTCATTCAGCCAGCTTGTGGTTATTAGACATGATGTTGGTTCAGAGGATTCAAAAAAATTTGGCATAAACAACCACATACATGAATGCTATTTTGCTTCTTCCAGACAACTGCAAGAAACTTCCGAAAATGAAACAACTCGGCATTGCTCTGTGGACTCTTTCCATTTTTTTCTGTTTAGATTATTGTTATGAGGAACTCTCCCATGGAAATATTTTGGTGGTAGAAATAGTAATATCATCTCGATAAGAACCTTGCATCTCTTCGTGCCACCCTCGTGCCGCACTGTAAATAAGTTCTTCTGCTGCCAAATGCGCATGACCAGCACCCACCCCACTTTTTCGATCTTGCAAATTCGGTTGTCCATAAAATGTCACGCCAACTTTATCGACAATCTCTTGCGGCGTTACGAAATCCATCAATCCATCCGTGGCGGAAACGACAAATAAATTCACCATGGGGGGACCACATTCCTTGTCCGTACAACCATACTCGTCCATTCCACCCATGACACTGTCTGCCAGAGATGATAAATCCAAAATATCCACAATGGGTTCCGCAATGACACCGGGTGCATCCCAATCCCCGATACTCCGACTCATGGCCAATCCAACATCATGACCCGATGCGGGATCTTTGTAAATGACACGCGATGTATCTCCATCGTCAAACGATTCGGGCATGCGCACTGTTCCACCGGCTTGTTCGATGCGCATTTGTTCGTCGGCCAAATGAGGCTTGTCTTCTCGTGACATGTAGACTATTTGCGAGGTTTCGTTCCATCCGCGATGGGCCGCGACCAGTGTGACGCTATCACCGGCATTGGCGACAAATAATTTGCTGCCCAATTGCAATGCTACCGAAGCCGTGCATCCGCCCGACTTGGGAGATGGAGCCGATTGGTCGACACTGAGAAAGACTTCCTTGAGCATAGAGGCAATGACGGTCGGATCGTCCAAATTCATCAGATTGTTGTTTTTGTTTTCGTTGCTATTGTTTTGTTGCTGCAATAATTCTTCCAATTTGGCGGCCAATTGTTTGGGAATTTCCGTTCTCGCATGTTCTGCCACTAATTCTCCTCCCGTACCATGTCCATCCAGGACACCCAAAAATTGGAACTCTCCCAAAAAGGGAGAAACTAGAATGGATCGATCCTGATTGATTTGTGAGGTAATCTGCCCACCCTTGTACCCGCACAGTGTCATGGTAGATCGATGTCGGTCGCCTGATGTATCCAATTGCGACAAAAATAGAGTAGTGGATCGTTTTCCCTCGTCTTCGTCGTGGACTTTGCGGATGGGTTCTTTCAATCGATGCAACGCCGTCTTGGCATCTTCGTCATAGAATACGTCGCGGGGTATAAAGGGACATCCAAAATTGTAACACACATTGGAAGAACTGTCCACGGATTCATTCACCACTTTGACAGTCTCCGCTGCAGATTGGTCGGCCCGTACCGATGTACATAACTTCACAGAAGACACTAACCAAACCAAAAAGACACCCCAAGGAAGCCTCGACGGTAACTGCCAATTATTTTGTCGTGTTGGAATCATTTTTCTTTTTTATTTCTCCTGTCTTTCGTTGATATATCTAAAAAGTAATCTCTTGCCAGATTAGTTAATACCTAACCGAAACCTTTGGCAAGAGGAATGCTTTATCTGTAGGGAAAAGTGGTTCTGAGGTAGAGTGAATGATCGAGGAGTGCTACCTCAATGATTGAATTCTTTTTCTTAGCCAGGTCCTTTCTTGCCCAGATGCTTTCTTATTTTGGCGGTGCGTGCAATTGCCACCACCCAAAACGAAAATGAACGGGTGCTGCCTGCATGTTCGGAATCCACGAGAGTCACGAGTCATACGAGTATCCGCGACTGAAAGATCCTTCCCATCGAGCGCGGAAAACAGTTCATTGGAAAGCATGGGCACAAGACTATAGCTAGACTGGTCTAGTAGGGTACGGTAAGGTAAGGTATTGGGGGAGGGGCTGGTTAGGACAATGATCTCGCTATAGAGCTACCATGGTAGCCATCTCCATTTTTTTAAACAGAGCTTGTTGGGGTACGGTACATTAGGTGAAAGAAGCTAGAGGAGCATACCCCATCTATTTCATGATATGGGCGAGCAGCTCGTCTCGACACGCATTTGGATGCATGCTACATATAGCTCTATTTATATGCTCTCATCCCAACAGCATTGGGTCATCACAGCTCGGGCATTTGAACGTCCACGAAGACTCCTGTCAGCCCCAGCAAAACCAACGTGATTGCCTTCCAAAGATCCCTGCTTACAGATACCCGGGGGTGCTGTACCTTACCGACCGGTACGGGTACGAGGATGGAACCACCCATTGAAAGAATGGAATCAAATCAAATCATTCAAATCTAGCTCCATCCATCGCAAGATCTCTCAAGGATGGCAACACTGGGAACACTGTACCAGATATCGAAACTACAATAGTTAGTATGTAAAGAAGACAAGAATGGAAGCATCGTACAAAGAAGCAGTTCAAAAAATGATCGTCGCGCTGGCCGTCGGTATCTCCTTGCGACATCGGTTCACTTCTACTTTTGGGGATCATTCGCTCAGTACTCCAAATGCCACCAGACGCTATCCAAGTAGTTCGCCGTAGCTTCCTCATCCTTCAGGGGCTTGACGAGCAAGCCTGTAGCATACCCCGTGGAGCAACTCAAGATCAATGTAGCAGCAATGCCAGCCGCCTGAGCCAACATTTGAGAACAAACTTCATCTGAGTAGACCAAGAATTCGGCACTGGAATCCAACGCCACAAAGATGATACTCAGAGTGGCGCCCGCAACGGAAGGATAACCATGCAGGTTCCCGACTCCACAGGTATCCATGATGCCCCATTTGGACTCGAGAAAAGGAGAGCTGAATACGTACCCAAAGACACTAACAGCTCCCGCCACAGATCCAGTCAAAATGGCACCGGCGGGTCCAATGTTAAGTCTTGCGGCACTGCCAATGGCAACGCCTCCCGCCAAAGTAGAGTTGGCAATATGGACGGGATCAAGTTTGCCATGAGGGGTGAGCTTTTGGGAGAGGAAGAAAGTCATGGTAGTAGATGCCAATAGAGCCAAGATGGTGTTGATGACACAGAACTGCTCGTAGGATCCCACGCCGGTCTCGGTGGCTCCGACAAATGAGGGCCAGAATACCCACAAAATGGTAGTTCCAATCAATGCCGTCAAATCCGACACCTTGTCAGGTCCGTTACTTTCCTCTGCTTCGGTCTTGCTACTGGTAGGCAGTGGTCCCAAGGCGCAGCTGGCCGCCAAACCAAAGTAAGCCCCAAACATGTGAATTGTCATGGATCCCCCCACATCTTCCGCTCCAATGAATCCTAGAACAAAGACCACCTTGTTGAGGGTGTAAGCCACTGACTGACAGAGACACACGGCCATCATTTGAAGTGGTGTAGCTCGTCCAATCAGTGCACCAAAGGTGATCATCAAGGTAGCCGCTGCAAACTCTGCATCAATCAAGGTAGCCATGGTCACGGGCATGGGCCAGCTGGTAGCATCAGCATCCTCGAGAGTTGCTCCGAATCCATAATAGTACACGTATCGCATTGCCAATTCCACGGCAATATTAAGTTCCATGCTCAGAATGGACAACATCATGGTCAATCCAACAGCGCCAAGTCCATAGTCCTTGAGGAAAGTCATGAGATATCCAAAACCCAAAAGAAGCATGGCCATGATATCGCGAAACGCCACATACTCCTTGGCGTCAAAGGTAGCTTCATCGGAGTAATCATAGGAAGTTCCAACGGCGAAAAAGACAAAGAGGATGGCCTGAAAGAGCAAAAAAATGGTGCTCAAAGCCGAGTTTGAGTTTCCAGAGCCTTCCGACTCCATTTTGTTTGTAGAAGGGAGGAGAGTGGAAGTTTCCGAAGGTTCCGTTGTCATTTTGATTTTGTGATCAGTCAAATAGTTTTGCCTTGATTTCTTCTGCGATTGCAAAGACGAGGCAAATCAAAATTGTGGGAAACCGGTTCACCTCATTTTTCCTTCCTCCTCCAATGCAAAAGCAGATCGAGAATCTAATGGATCCATCTGGTGTCGTCACTTCAAAAGAAGAAAAGTTCAAACATCAACAAAAGAGGAAAAAGTATAGCCGCAATTTCAAATGCCGTAGATACTCGAAGAGGATGAAAGAGATAGTAGCCGTGCGGAATGTATTGAATTAATGAGCTGCCGCTTCCCATCACTTGGGCTCTTCAGCTGAGCAGAAGCAGCTCGGGGCAATTCCAGCTTCTTGGATACCCGACGGAGTTACAGCAAGCTGATATCATTCATTGCTCTTTGAATAAATATGGACTGGTGCCGTACAGGGTACAGGGTACAGGTACAGATACATGTAGCAGTCCGACCAGTAGTCGCTTGCCGGTAGTACCGTTCCTGCAGCAAAGTGCGTACTCGCAGATCTCGGAACCGGTACAGACCAAAAGATCCTGTTTGCAGGAATGAAAAGTCGAGGGAAGAGTCAGTCATGCTTCCCGAACCCCGAAGTCCCCGAACATAAGGCTGTACCGGTACACGTAGAACTGGTACTGGTACCCTGCACCTGGCTCCATCCCTGCCCTGCACAACACCAGCACTTCACCCCCTTTGTTGTTTCGGCTGATGGCCTCTTTGCTCCTGAAGCTTCTGCTGTTCTCCAGGGCTCTCCCAGCTTTGGCTAAGAAGTGGTCCAAGCCCTTGTCTGTGGCGAGCTCCTTTGCTTTCTGCTCGAATGAGCATTGCCATGCTGCTTGTAGCTTCGTGGTTCTCGTGTTCCTGCTACTATGATGATCTTAGGGCATTGGGATGATTGTGGTGCTCTTGATCTCTACACAAAAGATCAAAGATCCAGTTTGCAGGAATGAAATCACTCATTCATGCTTCGAACAGTACCGTAGTACAGAACTACCGGTGCGGTGGTGCATGCACTGGCAGTGTGAACCAACCGAACATCTCGCAAACAGCACCCCAATGAATCAAATCACCATGTGCATCGACTTTGGACCAAGCAGGTCTCCGATGCTCTAGTACGTAGCTAGCTAGATGCTAGTAGATCGTGTGGAAGGTGGAGCCTGTGGAGGAATCACAGGGAACGGTATGGACTACCGATTGCTGCATATTCCTGTGGAGCACTGCTCTAGGTATTGAGCCAGAAGACGTAAGGAACAGCTTCCACTTGGATTGGGTCAAAAGCTGAACAGTAATTCGTCAGCTTCCTCCATTATTTGGAAGGAAGAATAATTGAGAAGAGAGGTCAGAAAGCATTATTAGGGTATCAAAACAAATAGTTTTGGGGATCCCAATCCTGATATAAGCTAGCTAGAGCCCCGGTGGGTGGTGTGAGGTCCCTTGGGGTATGCTGGGAGCCAAACAGAACAATCCCATTCAGGACCTCTGGCTTCACTGAATATCTACACTTTAGAAATGAGAATTGATGGTCTGGCTAGCCCTGCTGCTGATTTTCTTGTCATCCTAGTTTGTTAAAATAAATGAAGTTGGTAATGAAATGTATTCAGGTCACACATCTTGCTCATCAAATTCCACAGGTTGTGCCTCACTGAGAACGAAGCTGGCATCATTGTTGTAGCGTCGATGAAGGGCCTGCTGAACAGCATCAATAAATTTTACATTGCTCACTTCCAAAGAAGGCTGTAGAAACGTATCCCTGAGTGTCTCACCCATGGGAGGTTTGCACCCAGTTATAATTTTCTCTCTCAAAGGAATCGGCATGAACCACTTTATCATGGAGACAAACAGTGTGTAGGTACTGTCTGTGTTGTAGTGACAATACTTGTAGAAGATTGCAGGGTAGAACAGAGCCAGATCCACTGCTATTTGTCGAAACTGTGTCACAGTGCCATGCTTTGATGGTACAAAATCTTTAGACTCAACCAGAAACCACCAGCCTCGAATGATACTATCAAAGTCACAAGTCATGGCTTGGGCAAGGTAATACCAAACCTTGATCAATGTTCTAATACCTTGACCGCCAAGCTCCAACTCACTCGCCCTTAGCTGCGCGCGGTCAATGGCAATAACATAGCGTCCTCCGACTGGGTCAAAGGAGAAGGAGAGGAGATGCCCTGGAAATAACACCATGAGGTCTTTGATAGCACGCAACCCAGCCTTTGCGGAATCTTCAATATCGTACTTCTTTTTGAATTGTTGCAAGCTTCGAGCTCTCCTGAGTGCGTCGGAATAGTCGTTGAATTCCACACTAACAAGGGCAATCTGGACAACGTCAAAATCAGAGAACCTGCTAGAATCAAGTTCTCCGTCAGCCTCTATTTCTTCCCTTAAAGTGTTGGCCCATTCAATCTCTTCATCGGTAAGATCCATGCGGCGACTGTCATTTTGTGGCAAGACTGCTGGCCGTGCACTACTAGCTGGTTGTTGTTATTGAAGTCACACGCCAACTGTGACTCAGAACTCCACACCAAGACTGTTAGATGGTCCCCTGGCTTGCAGGAACCACAATTAGATGTAGATCCAGCAGAGCCTCCAACAGCTATAACAGCTATTGGGGGACATTCCTGCTCAGCAATGGCTCCCATAATTGTTTCTAACCTTCAGTTATAACAGAGCCTTGACTTCAATAGTTAGAAAGCAATCCTCAAAAACACACCGCGGCAAACCGCTTCGATCTACATCAACAAAACTCACCATGAGCATCCGATCCTACGATCCCATCACTGACTTCATACACAGCACCCTCACCAAAATTACTGGAGCACCAACCAGAGCCTCCATCAAAAATCTCATCAAAGAAAACAAGACAATGCGCGCAACATCCATAGCGCACGCGGAGCAGGAGACGAAGGACACCTTCGCATCTGCTACCAACTGAACGACTACAACGCAAGAGCCCATCTTGCCGGCAACCCATGGATTGACCCAGTTCATCCAGGAGCACGTCCCAACATCCCGGCTCACGCCACTGCAGCCCAAATCCAGAATGAAGTGGCCAACCACCAATACGACCTTCAAGAATTCCAAGTCTTCCAATCCACCGAAAAAGCCTCCTCAAACTCGCCATGCAAGCCACAGAGGACGTCTACTACAAGGCCCTGGAAGACCCTGACGAAGGATACTCCCATGTTAGATACATCGACTTCATTGAACACCTCCAAAGACCTACGGACAACTTATCAATGATGACCTCGACAAAAACATTGAACGCATGAACACAAAATGGTCTCCCAGTGACCCCATTGAAAAACTCTTCAACCAAATCAACGACGCCCAAGCATTCGCACGAGGACATGACGAAATCACCAACCGTGCAGCCCTCCGTGCCGGTCTCAAAAACCTCGAAAACAGTGGCGTCTTTCCTTTAGCACTCAAAGATTGGCGTGCCAAACCAACCCCAGAACAAACATGGGCCAACTTCCAAACACACTTCAAAGAAGCCAACAACGAACGCATCCGCAATATCACAACCAAACAAGCTGGCTACCATGACCAACATCAAACCAAATTGCAGCAACCAATGACAATCCCTACATCGTGACACTCAACGGTGAGAGCATGTCTTATTGTTTCTCCCACGGACTCCAATGGGATCTCACCCACACAGTAAACTCGCGCGTGCACCGCCACA